CCCTCCCCGAAAATAGTCTTAGGGTCAGTAGTTAAACCATGACTCCACTGTGATTAAAACTTTAACAAAAAGAAACAAATCCAAACAAGAAACAAGCCTAAACAAGTCCAAACAAGAAATAAATCCTCCTTTACATGATTGTAAACAATCCTTTCAAATATGGTGCTGGAGTAGTAGATAACCTCAAGTGCCAGAAAGATAAGCAAGCAGATCCTAGATCAAATCAAACCTGAAACATCCTTGGAGGCAAAATGTTGAAACTGAGGCTGCCCTACTTTGGGCACATCATGAGAAGGCAGTATTCTCCAGAAAACATAATAATAATAATGAGAAAGGTGGAAGACAGCAGGAAAAGAGGAGGATCAAATATGAGATAGACAGGGTCCATAAAGGAAGCCACAGGCTTGAGTTTACAAGGGCTTAGCAGGACCGTTGAGGACAGGACATTTTGGAGATGGCTCATTCACAGGGTTGCCATGAGTTGGAGGCAACTTGACAGCACATAAACAGCAGCAGCGACTGTTACTTCAGCATAAGAAGCTGCTGTATGCCGAATCACATAATCAGTCGATCTCACCTTGCCTTATTTTGGTCTTGATATGTATCAGCTCATTGTCATTGCTCCAGCAAAAGTGCAGAAATCTCTCCGATGCTTCTCTTGAGGATGTGACTTCTCCTTAACCTCTTTTAAATCCCTGCCAGTTCCATGTAGCCTCTGGAACAACCTTCTAGCCCAAATTCCCTGCTGAAGCAAAGTCTCAAGGCATATCATATGGCGGACCAAATGTTCTTTCCTTGTTGCTCGCCGCTGTCATTTCATTGTCTCTGCTGTTTCCTTCACATCAGATTTTGACTAGAGGCTGCTCTTGGGTGAAATCCTACCTTTTGTTTGTTCAGTATTTTTAACATTGTTTACGTTGGGGTATTTATTTATTTGATTTTTATACTGTACAATTCTACATTGTAGGTAGACACTCCTGCCGTACACGTTCCCGTTGAACCACATGACCCAAGCATTCCAGAACAAGTGAGTATTGTTAATAATGTTGCATGGGAAAATCTTTTCACTTCTACTGAGAGTTTTGACTGAAGGAGTCTTTGCTCTTCCATCTTGACAATCTCTACCCATGTTGTTCCCTCTTCAAGCCCCACCACCTGTCCAGATCCCAAAATCCTTTCAACAGCCTTAATCTTTCTGTTCCTTTGTACCTTTCCTCAGTTCCCTCTCATCTTCTGTAGCATGAGGTTCAATGCCACCATCCTTATCCCAGAATGAAAACAGCGTCTTCTTCCCCTGTTTGTCCTTCCCTCCATTTTTCTCTTTTCAAGAAGTTCTTCACTCTGCTTGGGGTGTTTTGAGTAGAACTTCTCAGGGAGGAGTGCAGGGACCTATTGTCATGTTTTCCTGATCTCAAGTATTCTGACTGAGACAAAGTAAACACCTTCTGGATGGCAAGAAGAATGACAAGCAGACCAGGGCTTGATCTGGTACATTACGGAAAATGATTGCTCCACCAGGAAGCGCCCCCAAATAAAGAGAATTTGGGTGTCTTCATGAAGTTTCATCTTCTGTCTTTCTCTAAAAATAAAACTTCATTGTACTCTTACTTGTTGCAGATATCAACCCTTGTGCATGAAGTAGAAACAGTGGTGAGTATTGCTAATAATTCTTTGTAATCAGTCTTTTAGTTTTTCCTGAGGCATTTCATGTAGTAATCCAGACCAGAGCTGGTTACAGGGAGAACATAAAATTGTTTATTGTACCACTAATACATTCAACAAATATAAGGATAATATTGATTTGTTTATTTTTCTACAATAAACAAATATAAGGATGACTTGATGTTTTATTTTAAAATTTGAATTAATGATATATAAATACACATTATAAAGGATATGATAATGATGATGATGATGATGATGATGATGATGATGCCTTTCTCCCAACAAGGGACCCAAAGTGGCTCACAACAATATGAATAAATAGTATAGACTTAAGCATAGTTCAGCCTCTGCCTACCTCTGAGTAATTTGTAAAATACTGAATATGAAATAATTGTATATTCTTATGTTGTAGATTGGTGAGATCATGACCACGGTGCCAGAAGAGGTGAGTACTGTTGACAATTTTGCAAGAAACATTGTTTTCTTTCTACTAAACATAGAATAAAGACTGAATTTGATTGAGATATGGTATTTTTGCTTTTGAAATTATCCAATTAGTGTAATAAATGCAAAATGAATGACGTTACCACTGCCATCTTTCTGCTGGATTAAAGCTCATAGACTCTATAGAGTTTTAATTGGGGTGGTTGAAAGCTTTGTTCTTCTTTTCTCTTCTTCGCCTTCTTCTCTTCCCTTTCTTACTTCTTGTGACTCTTAGAGCGGAAGCTCCTTAGAGCAGGGCCTTGCCTTTGGGTCTGCTATTCTGAAACATTTGTGGCCATTTCCTCTGTCCTTGTTACAAAATATTTACAAGCCACAGTGGAATTCGTATCCAAATTGCCACTTTTTAAAAATCATCCCCTACAACTGTATCAGCTCTGGAAATCTTTGAAATTCTGTAAAAAATATATATAAAAGAAGTCCACTTCTCTCCTTTTCTGTGGGAGGCACAGACTTTATCACTGAAGATACTGAGACAAGATAAGTATCTTGTGGATGCAAGAAAAATGTCATTGAAACCAGTGTAGAAATAAGGACAGGATCATGAATAAATATTGCATCTGGATTGCCCCCAAAATAGAGTTTAGATGTCTTAATAAAGACTCACCTGCTGTCTTTTTCTGTGGTTAAGAGGTCACTGTACTTTTCTATTTTGTAGGCAAAAGATGATATGCAGAAACTAAATGGACAAGTGAGTATTATTAATATTTTTATGGTTATTCTTTAACTTTTTACTGACACATTTAATAGAACAACCAATATATGATTGTCTGAAGGGACTTTTCTCAGATTGGCCAAGATCCGTAGTGATATGTTAAAAATAATTCAGGTGTATGTTGTGTGCTGCTACTATGTACCTTGTCTCTGAGTGTACATTAAGCTTGTAAAGGGGTTTCAAATCTGGCACTCTGCTGACTTATGGCACTCTGCTGACATTCTTAAATCTACATAACCACGTAATTTTCCAGGATTTCCTTGCTGAACTGAGATCTCTCCATGTCAACTTTCCCACTTTTCAGTTCTAGTGTTATAAATGCACCATGAGTGAAAGTGCCTTCTGTCCCTCTAACTACTTGTTGTGACCTTTAATTTAATTGATTATACACGTTTCAAATGTGAAGTTTCCACAGGGACACTGGCATGTCCTAGGTTTGTGCCATTCCAAAGCACTGTATTTGTTCATGTTAGTTTAAGTTTACTGTATTAGCTAAAAGCCATCACAATTGATTGAGATACAAATATGATAAAATAAAATTATGATAAAATCACAGTCATGCAAAATGATAACAGTCCTGTCCACAGAAGGATGACTAAAAAAGGGGGGGGAGTTGGGGGGGACATGCGTGGGTGCCCCTTCATATCTGGGAGTCCCCCACACAATTGATTGTGATGGCTCTCAGGAAATTAGTGTGGGTGTTTCTGGCCACTTTTGCAAACAGCGCTGTCACAGTCCGAGAGTAACCTGCCCACCTTTATCTGAGGGCTTTCCTCCTGTAGGGAAACCAAAATGTTTCCCAGGAATTTTTTCCTAGGGTTTTGATAGAGCTGATAGTTGACTAAATAGTGAACAATATCCTCAATCTCACCCGCTCTGCAAATATACAGCCTTAGATGCTTAGGGACATTCATGGACCTGCTGTTGGGCTCTTAAGGCTAAGATCAAGTGTAGTATCTGTTCTTTTCAATGTTTATTGACGTTTCTAAATATACAATACCAACCAACAGCATTCTGGTGACTTAAGAGTGGTTTCCTTTACCACCTTTGACCATAGAAAGTAACAATGTTTTTTTTTTAACTACAGGTTAATAGCCTTGTTCAAGAACTGTGTGCTGCAGTGAGTATTTTGATGGCCAATCTTTTAATTTGCACCAAATCTTTTAGAATTTCTTGAAATTTCTTCAAATTTTGACTGACAGCAGAGCAATCCTGTCTTTTGGTTGTTACATTTTTTTCAGCATTGTGCACATAGGGAATATTTCGTAAATAACAAAAAACAAAAACAAAACTCCAGATTCAGGAACAAATGACATCTTTATTCGAACACTAAAACTGTATAACAAAACCAAAAAATAAACAGCAAGCTTTCAATGATAATTCATCTTCTTCAGGCTGAGCGCCAAGTTCTCATGGGTAGGTCCAAAATGATATGTAAAGTCCCAAAGTCTCATGGCCACTGTTTGCTGCCAGGTGTAGCTTCTTAAATGCAGATAGCTGTCATCTGCAGTCTGCAGGAGCCCTGTTGGGAGAGGGTGTGGCCTCAGTCTCCTCTTCAGCCAGTGGTTCCGAATCTCTCTAAACAAACGATGGCCAAGCATTCTAATTCCCTCCCACCTTCTTTTCCCCCTTCCTCCTCCTTGACAGTGGAAAACAAGCAGGGTAACAAGAAGCATGGCAAGCTTTAAATCACAGATGTGATTTAAAATGTTTAGTTAAACCACCAGGAACAGTTAATTCCAGCTAAATTAAATCCAAATCAATAGCTTTACTTGGTGGATCCTCTTCTCAGCATGCAGTACTGCTTGTCTGGTGTCAAGAATCCAGGATGTTCAACAACTCACATGCGTGTCCTGACCAGCCATTCTACGGTAACTTACACATCTTTACACTGAAAGCTCACTGTTTTTTTAATTTGTTTTGTTTATTTAGTGGTTCAATAAAGGTTTCACCTGTTTCTGCATTTAGATTGTTTTGGAGAATACCACAGCTTTTTCCTGATTTTTATTTACCAAAAAAAAGGGCATATTAATAAGGCAGGTACTCATTTATTTGTCTTTGAATATTCTCTGAAGTACCATTAGATATGAGAACTAATAGTAAAATTCTACTTTGTAGGTTGCCACTGACAAGAAAACCCTGTTGCTCCAAGTGAGTATTGCTAATAATTTTTTATGCAAAAATCTTACAACTCATATTGGAAGCTTCAGCAGATAATTCCCAGTAGTTACCCTTGCACATGGAAAGCACCCTATAAACAACAGTAATATTAATGAGGATGATTAAGGTGGCTAAATGAGAGTCTTTGTCTAACTCTGGATGTTTAAAAAAGGGGGGGTTGCTTTTCTAGATCGTAGACTAAAGCTGCCTTTTAGAGGCTAAAACTAGGAGACTAAATCTGTGATGTAGTCTCCTAGTTTTAGCCTCTCAAAGGCAGCTTTAGGGTTATCCCAAGAATACACCCACAACAAAAAACACGCTGATCACCATAATCACCCAATCTCCTGAAAAGGACAAAAGCTGATCCCACAGCTATGAATACTCAGCTATCCAACAAACTGCACCAGAGCACAGACAGTTCTGAGTCCTGTCCTCTGAAGATGCTGGCCATGGAGACTGGTGAAATGTTAGGGAGAAAACCCTTAAGAACACAGCCAAACCGCCCAGAAAACCCACAACAACCATAGGATCCCGGCTGTGAAAGCCTTCGGGAATACATTGTTCTTTACTCTGCTTGGGTGTTTTGAGTAGAACCTCCTCAGAGAGAAGTGCAGGGACCTGCTGTCATGTTTTCCTGTTCTCCAGTATTCTAAATGACACGAAGTAAATGCCTTCTGGATGGCAAGAAAAAGGAGATTGGATGATTATGGGTGATTATGGACATGATTAGGGACATGGTGGCGCTGTGGGCTAAACTGCAGAAGCCTGTGCTGCAGGGTCAGAAGACCAGCAGTCGTAAGATCGAATCCACACAATGGAGTGAGCTCCCGTTGCTTGTCCCAGCTCCCGCCAACCTAGCGGTTTAAAAGCATGTAAATGCAAGTAGATAAATAAGGGCCATCTCGGTGGGAAGGTAACAGCGTTCCGTGTCTAAGTCGCACTGGCCATGTGACCACGAAGACTGTCTCCGGACAAACACTGGCTCTATGGCTTGGAAACGAGGATGAGCACCGCCCCCTAGAGTCGAACACGACTGGACAAAAATTGTCAAGGGGAACCTTTACCTTTACCTTTATGGACATGAAGATCAGGGCTTGATCAGGTACATTATGGAAAATAAATGTTCCACCAGGCAGTGCCCCCAAATAAAGAGTATTCAGGTGTCTTAAGGAAATTTCATCTGCAGTCTTTCTCTGAAAATAGAACTTCATTGTACTCTTCTTTGTTGTAGGCAAAAGGCCTTGTTCAAGCTATAATTTCAGCAGTGAGTATTGCTAATAATTCTTTATAATCGGTCTTTTAGTTTTTCCTGAGGCATTTCATGTAGCAATCCAGACCAGAGCTGGTTACTGGGACAACATAAAATAGTTTATTGCACCACTAATAAATTAAATAAATTTAAGGATAACATTGATTTGTTTGTTTTTCCATAATATCTTTGTTATAAAAGCTTGACAGGCTAGCAGTCTTTTACCAGGCAGAATTCCAGATGCTTGTTTTAATCTATGAAGTCCTAAATGACTGGGTCCGGGATATGTGAGGGGCTATTGTATCCCATATCAGACTCCCTGGACTTTATGATATTTTACAGGAGGCCTTTCTAGCACCCTCAGAGAAACACGTGGTGCAGAGAGAGGGAAAAAAAACATTTTTAGTGGCTCCTTTCTGGCTCCACAACTCACTCCTATGGGAGGTATTGCTGGACACCTCCCTTCTGTCCTTCCATGTGCAAGAAAATACAGTTTTCAGGCAATCTTAATATGTAAACTTTGTGGAATTTTAAGTGGAGAATTGTCATCTGTTCTTTTAAACTTGCTTTCAGAAGGACATTTCTATTCTGCCTTTTAATATGATTGTGTTGAATTATTTTTTTAATAACATGATTCTTACATTTTGTAATCATTTTAGTATTTGTGTTTTGTAACCCATTTTTCTAAAACAACCTGAGTCCCTCTGCTGGGAGAAAATGGGGAGGGGATATAAAAGGAATGAATGAAGGCATAGACAAGCGAACTGACAAACAGTAAATAAATGTACATTTCAAGGGAGTTATTATAATTTTATCATAAGTCAGCCTCTGCCAACTTCTGTGTAATATATAATATAACAAATTAGAAATGACTGTATATATCTATGCTGCAGGTCGAGAACACTGTGAACAAAGATGTGAGTACCATTGCTGATTTTGCAGGGGAAGTAGTTACCTTGACACTGAGAGACTGGCAGAATCCACTTGACTGGATGAATCCCAGAAGCCATCACAAGGGATGGGATCTTTGCTCCATCCAGTGTCATAAATGCAAAAGGAATGATGTTGCCACTGTCATCCTTCTACTGGATTAGCCCTAAAGAGCATAGACTCTATAGATTTTGGATGGGGAAAAGCTTGTTCATTTAACTATCTTCTCCGGCTACTTCTACTTCCCATTCATGTGACACTTTTCTTAGATCAGAAGCTCCTTTAAACAGGGCACTGGCTTTGTGTCTGCCATTCACAGTATACACATCGAGAGTGGTTTGTGCTCAGTTGATCTGTCCTTGTTACAAAACTATCACAAGGCATGGTGGGATTCGCATCCAAACCTCCATTTTAAAATCCTCTTTTCTCACAAACACATCCATTCTGGAAACCATTGACATTCCATAAAAAATATAAAAGAAATCCACTTTTTCACTGGAGCATCTCTTCTGTGGAAGACACAGATTTTGTCCCCATACTGAGACAAGATGAAAGTCTTGTGGTTGCAAATAAAATGAAATGCAATTAGTCCATTATAGAACCAGCGACACTAGGGTGAATATATGCTGCATCCTGAATCTCCCCAATAAAGAGCATTTAAATGTATTAATGAAAATTCATCAGCTGTCCTTGTCTGAGAATATACTTTTCTATATTTTAGGAACAGGCAGATATTAAGAAATTACTAGAACAAGTAAGTGTCATTAATTTTTACAGTAACCTTTTTAGTTTTTAGCAACATGTTTAAAATTGTCTGAAGGGATTTTTCAAGGGTGGGAAAGGGTCCATAGAGATACCTTAAATAATTCAAGTGCCTAGTGAGTGCTTCTACTGCACACTTGGACTCTGTGTGTACTTTAAAACAATAAAGGCATTTTAAATCTGGAGGAACAACCCTTATGACACTCTCCCAACATTCATGAATCCCCATAACTGGGTATTTTTCCAGTGACTTCCTCGGTCAATTGGGATCTCTCTGTGTGCCCTTTCAAAGCTAGTGTTATAAAGGCACCATGAGTGAAAGTTTCTTCTGTTCTGCTACTTACTTTGCTTTGATCTTTACTTCATGGACCCTGCATGTTTCCCAGTCACCTATCAAGTAGATGTTTCCATGGGGACACTGGTGTGTCCTGTTTTTTGCCATTCTGTGTTTATGCTGGTAAATGAATTATAAGAACCAAGAGTATTTGAGTGACAGGAATGGTTTGCTCTGTTTCTAAGAAGTAACTGTGTTTTTCTCTATTACAGCTTGAGGAAATTATCAAGAAATTGGATTCTGATGTGAGTATTGCTGATCATTTTAATAGCTAATCTCTTAGTTTACACTTAATCTTCTAAAATGCCTTAAAATTTTTAATGAAGGCTCCTTAGGAGAGTAATCCTTCCATTGGTTGTTACATTTCATAACATTGTGTGCATTGGAAATACTTTGTAAATAACAAAAGAAAATTAGTATTAATAAAGGAAGGTAATCTTAACGATGGTCTGGCCTTTATCAATCTTTGAATATTCTCTGAAGTAATATTAGATGTGAGAAGTAACTGTACAATTCTACCTTGTAGGCTGAGAGTGATTCCAAAGTTGTGTGGGAACAAGTGAGTATCGCTAATAATTTTCCATGTTAAAATCTTGCAACTCATATTGGAAGCTCCACTGGATGATGCCCAGTAGTTACTGTGACAACGATGGATATTTGCTTCTGACCTTTGACAATTAGTATCCTAAATGGGCACCAACAATGAAACACACTAATTCTTCTAATGGCCCAGCTTCAAAAATCATACCTTTTATTTTCTCTGAGAAGGAAACCTGGTGGTTGACTGATTCTTATCTCCATGTTCCTCTCTTCCTTCTGTTCTCTCCTCTCTGTCTTTCATAATGGAAGCTCCTTTACAACAATGGCTTGCTCTCTTTCACTGCCACTCTAAAGTCAATGATTGCGCACATCGAAGGCACCCTAGAAACAACAACAATATTAAGGAGGAGGATTAAGGTGGCTAAATGAGAGTCTTTGTCTAACTCTGAATGTTGCAAAGAAGCCTGTACATTTCTAGATTGTAAAGCTGCCTTTGAGAAGCTAAAACTTCAAGACTATATCTGCGATAATGCAGTATTGGTGGCATTTCTTCTAGTTTACATGTTTGTATTTAATAAAGAAGGCAACTAAAAAGGCAAAATGGTTTTCCTGGGGGTTTTGCACTAGTTATTTCTCCATGTGATTTTCTTCTGCTGTGTCTTGAATGCAGCATTCATGGAGATGTCTTCCAGCTAGTTCTATTAAGGGCTTTCTTCTGACTTTTAAACCTAGGATTTCCATTTTCTCTATCAACAGGGAAATAAAACTCAAAGCAAACACATCATAACCACACTACTTATGTTTATCTAGAAATGCACCCCAAAAAGCAAACAATTATATCCATATTTTAATAGTTTGCCTATTAAAATCTGTTTCTGAATACTTGGAGCAGTAACCTCTGTTTCTCTAACACAATGGAAAGGGAAGAGAAAAACTACAGTCCATGGTTTGGGAGAGGTTACACTTCTAATGATGTCAAGACCCTTATTTGATCTATCTCATTCTTACCTTCAGTCAAACATGCTTTGTCAGAAAAGATCAAAAATTATCAAAAACGACCTGAGGTGTAAGATTTGTAGCATCATGGCAAATGCTCTTGCAGGTCAGAAGATGCACCCATCCCAGTCTTTGTTCTTTCATCTTGACAATCTCTGCCCATGTTTTTCACTACTCAAGTCAATGTCTTAAAATCCCTTCAACAGCTTTAATCTTCCTATCACACAAGGATGTTTCATTGGCCTGGAAATATCTCCAGCTAACAAGCAGTTAGATGTCTTAACGAAGTTTCATTTGCTGTCTTTCTCTGAAAATAAAACATCACTGTACTTTTCTTTGCTATAGGTAGTAACTACTCTTCAAAACCTAGAGGGGAACCTTTACCTTTACCTTTATGGACATGAAGATCAGGGCTTGATCAGGTACATTATGGAAAATAAATGCGTATAGTATTAATAATAATTCCTTATAATCAGTGTTTTAGTTCTTATAGGAAGAATATAAAATCCTTTATTTGATCACTAAAAGGATAAGCGAATATAAGGATCACATGGGTTTTTCAAATTCTTTTCCATAGTGCTTGTAGGACCAGCTTCACCTGCTGGAAGTAGAATTCAAAATGCTGGTTTTCACTTATAAAGTCCCTAAAGTATTAATAATAATTCCTTATAATCAGTGTTTTAGTTCTTATAGGAAGAATATAAAATCCTTTATTTGATCACTAAAAGGATAAGCGAATATAAGGATCACATGGGTTTTTCAAATTCTTTTCCATAGTGCTTGTAGGACCAGCTTCACCTGCTGGAAGTAGAATTCAAAATGCTGGTTTTCACTTATAAAGTCCCTAATCATATAGCCTCAGGCCACATTTGAGGGGTTTAGTCTTCTTTCTACAATACTCTCTGGTTTTTAAGATCTTTTGCAGGAGCCCTTTCTCTCGGTTCCACCACCCTCAAAGGCACAGCTGGTACACACCTGGGAAGATCCTTTTTAATGGCTGCTCTCCAACTAAAGAACTCCCTCCTACAGGAGGTTCAGCTGCCCCTCCCTCCTGTCCTTCCTCCTGCAACCCAAGACCTTCCTTTTCAAGCAAGCATAAGATGTAAAATCTGTACACTGCTACCACAGGAAGGATTCTAGGGGGAGAACTTTTATTTTATGTTTTAAAATCTTGGGTTAATCACTTTCAGAAGGGTGTTTATATTCTCTCTGTAAATAACTATCATGTTTATTGTTTTTTTAATAATGTAATTCTTGCATTTAGTAATTATTTTAGTTTTTGTGTTTTTAAACTATATTTGTAAAACAACCTGAGATGAATGAATGAACAAGCAATAAATGCACATTGTAAGAGACATTATATTTTATAATGATGAAATATTATATACTAAATCATAATTTGGTTTCTGTCAATCTCTGAGGGATTTGTAAAATATTGAACAAGAAGTAACTGTATGTTTCTATGTTGCAGCTTAAGGAGATCGAGAAAACTGCATCAGACGATGTGAGTACTGTTGTGAATTTTGCAGGGAAAATCATTGACTATATACTGAACATAGAATATAGGTAGAAGTTGCTAGACTGATTTCCAGTAGCTCCCATGAGATACAGGGTCTTTGCTTCTGCAATTATCCATTTAGTGTACTATAGACTCTATAGAGTTTTAATCGGGGTGGGGGAAACTTGTTTGCTTTACTCTCTTCTCCGCCTTCTTCTCTTCCCTTTCTTATTTCTTGTAACTCTTTTCTTAGAGCAGAAGCTCCTTAGAGTAGGACCCTGCCTTTGGGTCTGGCATTCTTCAACATTTTGTACATTGAGAGCAATTTGTGACCGTTTCCTCTGTCCTTGTTATAAAACACTCACAAGGCACAGTGGGATTAATGTCCAAACCACCATTATTTTTTTCTTTACAATTGTATCTGCTCTGGAAATCTTTGCAATTCTGTAAAAAATATAAAAGAAGTCCACTTCTCTGAGCTCCTTTTCTATGGGAAGCACACACTTTATCACTGAAAATACTGAGACAAGTTAAGTATCTTGTGGATGCAAGAAAAATGAAACTAGTGTAGAAACAAGGACATCATCATGAATAAATATTGCATCTGGATTGCCCTCGAAATAAAGAGAGTTTAGATGTCTTAATGAAGACTCACCTGCCGTCTTTTTCTGTGATTAAGATGTCACTGTACTTTTCTATGTTGCAGGCAAAAGTAGATCTTCAGATGTTAGAAACAACAGTGAGTATTGCTAATACTTTTTATGGTCAATCTTTCAGTTTTTACTGATACATTTAATACAATAACCTATTTATGATTAACTAGTGATTTTTCAGGGGTGGGCAGAGGTCCATAGTAGTATGTTAAATAATTCAGGTGCAAAGTAAGTGCTACAACAATAAACCTTTTCTCTTTGTGTGTACATTAAAACAGTAAAGGTGGGAGAACATCCTCTAAGACATCCTGATGACATTCATAAATCTACATAACTGCACAATTTTTTATATATTTTCTTGCTCTACTGAGATGTGACTTTTCAAAGCCAGTGTTATAAATGCACCATGAGTGAAAATGTCTTCTGTTCCACTACATACTTTGGTCTGATGTTTCATTTCATTGATCCTACATGTTTCCCAGTCTCCTTTCAGATGGGAAGTTTCCACTGGGACACTGGTGTGTCCTCTTTCTGTACCATTCTAAACCATTCTCTGTGTTGATGCTGCTAAATAAACAATATGAGCCAAGAACATTTGAATGATTTAGGACCCATTTGCTCTACTACCCACCTCTAGGCATTCTGCCTAATTCTGTTTTTCTGCATTACAGGTTGACAATGTTCTGGAGAAAATGCGTGCTACAGTGAGTATTGCTGATTAATTTGTTGGGCATTTTTTAAAGTTGGCACTTAATCTTCTAAAATTTCTTAAATTTTCTTAAAATCTTGACTGGAAGCCCCTTAGGGTTGCGATCCTGCTTTTTGCTTATTACATTTCTTAACATTATGTACATTGTGGGCACTTTGTAAGTAAAAACAATTTTTTGTAATATTAAAATAAGGTAGACTTATAATGCTTTGGCCTTTATCCACCTTTGAATAGTCTATGTGATAACATTAGACATGAGGTCTAATTTTACAATTCTACAATGCAGGCTGAGAGAATGGAGGGAACCCTGTCAGAAAAAGTGAGTATTGATCATAATTTTGCATGCGAACATTATTTTACTGATGCTGGAAATTTTGACTGGATGATTCCCAGTAGTTACTATAACAAGGAGAGATGTTTGCTTCTGACTTTTGGCAACTAGTATGCTATATGGGGCACCAACAATGAAACACACAGATTGAGCAAGTTGCAAAAATTACAGACGTTGTCTTTCTCTGAGAAGGAAAACCGGTGGTTGATTGATTCTTATCTCCATGTTCCTCTCTTCCTTCTGTTCTCGCCTCTGTGTCTTCTTTTACATTAGAAGCTCCTTTACAACAAAGGCTTGTTCACTTTTGCTGCACTCTAAAGTCAATGATTGTGAATGTGGAAGCACCATAGAAACCATAGTAATATTAATGAGGATTAAAATGGCTAAATAAGAGTCTTTATCTGAGTGTAAAAAAGGCTGTATTTTTCTAGATTGCAGACTAATGCTGCCTTTGGGAAACTAACACCAGAAGACTATATCTGTGATAATACAGAATTAGTGGCATTTCTTCCATTTTACACGGATGTATCTAATATAGAAAGCAATTGATAGGGCAGGATGGTGCTCCAGGGAGTTTTGTACTGGTGTGACATTCCCGCACGTGATGTTTCTCCTTCTGTTTTAATTGCAACCTCTGTAAAAGGCTTTGTTCTGACTTTTAAACCTAAGAGTCTGTTATGTTCTCTGTAAGTAGAAAAAGAAAAAACCTAAAGCCAACGCATCAGCACCCAATGTTCCCATGATTACGTGGAAAGCAAGACAGAAGGCAAACAATTATATGCATATTATAAAATTTTGCCTACTAAAATCTGTTTCAGTAATCTCAGTCTCCCCAATACTAACAAAAGGCATTTGGACAAACTGTAGACCGTGGTTTGGGAGAGATGCTACCGGCTATGATATCAAGACACTCGTTTTTCCTATCCCATTGTTACAAATATACGTTTTTGGAAAAGGTCAAAAACCATCAGAACTCTATGTACGGGATTTAAGATTTGCCCTCTAAGGGCAAATTGTTTTGCAGGTCAGATGACATGCCCACCCCAGTCTTTGCTCTTCCATTCCAGCACTTTCTGTCCATGTTTTTCACTTTTCAGGTGATGGGACCTGAAAAGTGAAACTCCCTTCAACAGCCTTAATCTTTCTGTCCCTTACCACCCATGGGATGCTGTTTCATTACTACATTTCGTCACTTCTCTCTCATCCTCTATAGCCTGAAGGTCAACTGCCACCATCCTTATCCCAGAGTGAAGCCAATCTGAAGGACCTATGACTGAACTGAACACCTCTTCTTCCTTTTCTCCTTTTCTTTTCCTTTCTTTTCCTTTCTTTTCTTTTCTTTTCTGAAGCTGTTCTTTACCCTTTTTGGGTGTTTTGCTTAGGACTTCCTCAGGGAGTAGTGCAGGGACTTGATGTCTTATTCTCCTGTTCTCTAATGATTCTATTGAGACAAAGGAAATGCCTGACGAATGGCAAGAAAATCTACCATCACACCAGGGCTGGATGAGGTATAGTGTGGATAATAAATGCCCCACTTGGAAGAGGCCCCAAATAAAGAGCATTTAGATGTCTTAATGAAGGTTTATCAACTGTCACTCTCTGAAAATGAAATGTCACTGAACTCTTCTTTGCTATAGGTAAGAGAAACTCTGCATGAAATAAAATCAGGGGTGAGTATTGCTAATAATTCTTTGTAACCATCCCCCCCACAGTTTTTGAAGAGGTATTTCACATTGTAGTTCAGATCAGGGCTAGTTATAGGGAGAACATAAAATCCCTTAGTGGACCACTACAAAAATTAAACAAATATTATAAGGAACATATGGAATTTTTGTTTCATATAATTCTTGTTGTATTAGCTTCAGTGAGTGGCAGACTTTTACTGGGTACAATTCCCAATCCTGGTTTCAATTTATAAATCCCTAAATGACTGGGTTCAGGCTATTTGGGGGATGCTTTTCTCCATATCAAGCTCCCTGGTCTTTAAGATCTTTTACAGGAGGCCTTTCAAGCACCACGTTCAGAAAACCTCACTGGGCAGCCATGCACTCAGGGAAAGCTTGCCTTAAGAGAAAGGTCTTTGCCTGTCTGCAAAAGGATAGTAAAGATGGGGCCAGTCTAGCCTTTTGAGGGAGGGTGTTCTAAAATCTGAGAGCCACAACAGAGAAGGCCTTCTCCTGCGTCCCCACTAGACACACCTAGACGTTTGGTGGGACCAAGAGGAAGGCCTGATGGTCTTAACAATCAAACAGGCTCATAAAGCCTTGAGAGAGCCACTTAGGGTTTTATAGTTTGGAACCATCCCTTTAAATTCTGCCATTATTATTTTTTTATGACGTGATTCTTCTATTTCATAATTATTGTAGGATTTCTGTTCTTTAAACTATTTCTGTAAGACAACCTGAGTCACTTTACAGGGAGAAAGGAGGGGCATAGAAATAATTAATTAATTAATTAATTAACACTAAATGAATGTACATTACAAAAGATATTATATTATATTGATATGATTCAATAGTATAGATTTAATGATAATTCAGCTTCAGACCTCTTCTGTGAAATATGAAACAGAATGAATAAGAAATAATTGTATATTTCTATGTTGTAGATTGATAACATCAAGTCAAAAGTGCCAGAAGCTGTGAGTACTGCTGTTAAATTTGCAGGGAAAATGGTTTACTTTGTACTGAAAATAGAATATACAGTAGGACCCTTGTGTCTGCAGGATCAGGATCCACTGATTCACTTATCCATGGTCTGAAAATATGAAAAATATTAAAAGAAAAATTCCAGGAATTTTATATATATTTAATGATGGAGTTACCAGAAGTAGCCACTAGAGGGAGGCAGAGAGCATGCTCTTTGTAGTACAGTATTTGCTATAATAAAAATATTTGTTATAATCCATGTATTTCAGCATCCATGCTGAGGGGGGTTGTTGGATCTTATTGCCTGTGGATACAGAGGTCGTTGGTGGGTAGAATTTACCTGACTAGATGATTCCTAGTTGCTGCCACAAAGGATGGGATCTTCACTTCCGAAACATTCTAATTAGTGTATGAAATGCAAAATGTATCATGTTCCCTTAATCTTTGCTTTAAAGCCCATAGAATCTATAG